GAAGTGTTGAAGGAGCCGCGATGGCTCTCGGCCGATAATTTGTGGCGTCTTCAGTCCGTCACGCCCCTAAAGAAAATCTTCGAGACAGGACAGCAGAAGTCTTATCCAACGGAATTGTGTTGTGAGGCAGCTTGCCACTGTATTGCAGTAAAACGCTCTGCATCCGGCGCTCCACGATATCTATCCCAGGCTCTTCCGGAGAATCAAACGATCCTATTGTGTGAGTAACACGGCAACCCAGCCAGTGTGTAGCGGCTCTGTGGCACAAATGTAAACGTGTGCACTGTGCAAATGTGATGTGTGCGTGCATGTGTATGAGTAATGTTTGTATCCACCTCACTCATTTCACCTGGCTTGGCAGCAAACACTAGCCATTTTCAAAAGGAAATCATAATATAGATCAGCTTGCCACAAGCACAATACACAATATGCAAGGCATGTTCTTTTTCCAGTATATACTTGAGGTTCATATCATTAATTGGTCCTTAAAGTCAATGCAAATTTAGGCTATTTTGGGCTTTGCACCGCTTCTAGGACTTTAAATCTATGCTGCTGTAGATTTTCTGGCCCCGTTTTAAAATTTGGTGCAGCTTTTGATCTTTGGCTCATGCACCCTGTCAGCCTGCAAGCCATAGGGCTGTTCGGCTACGCAGCCCAAAGGAAATATGCTGCAGCATGCATGTGCAGTGAGGGCTACGTCGCCAGTTCATCCCACCCAAACCACTGTGTAATCCTGTGTGATGTCACCTGCTGAAGCATACTTCTCTTTCCTGCAGCCAGAAATTTGGTGCTGCAGGAGGTGAAAGTGGAGCGGAGCGGATTTAAGTTTACCGTCCCATATTTCTCATTGTAAGCGGTTTGTATGCTCTTTTTTGGGTATCATTATCACTCTTTTCAGTGGCACATTGCTGTTAACCACATTTGAACGCAATTTAACTGTTATTTGAGCAACAATCAGCAGTTGAGCAACAACCACCTGTTCAATGGTTCCCCACAGATGGAATAATGCAGCGACGCTTGGCCACAGCATGCCGGCAGAGCCAGCTGATTATGATGCACGCAGCACAGATCTATGCTGCAGGGACCCTAACAGCCCTCATGCCTTGTAGTAAAGGATTTATCCCACACCACAATGTCAACATAGGAGCTTCTAAATCCAGCATTCATGGTAACTAGTAACTACCCCTCCCCCTGGTGGGGTCAAACCAAGAGTAGAAACCATCACAATCTTACCACATCAATCTTGCCCTTTATCTTGCCGGTGCGCATTTCTTAAGGAATTATGCAGAATAGTGCAGATTTCTGAAGAATGTTCCAAATTTCCCTTTGAAAGTGTACCGGTCCTAAAGTAAATATTTACCCAAACTTCCAGAGCATCGGCGCAGATTTTGCAAGGAAATAGGAATGGCATGGGCCGCAATCTGGAATCATGCATAAACAATGTGCCAGCGCAACATTAGCCGGGTACACAACGACACAAATCGGAGCGGGCCAGCGAGGCCCGGTAGTGGGCTAACATGCGGTTCACACCACACTCCACATGCCTACCCAACGTCTCACTACACACGCCTGCGATAAATGGTTACCAGTAATTAAATGCCCTACTTCGATTTTTATGACGAATAAAAAGTCATTCAATCCAAAAAAGCCTATAATACTCACTTACAAACAATATTTCCTCAGCAGCTATGCGCCGATGTGAGCCTGCCTTTACCTGGCATCGGAGTGGGCCAGCTAAGCCACCTGCCGCGGAGATGGCCAGGCTGGCCCACTGCGAATTTCCACGGAGAAAAAAATATGCAGATGTCACGCTGATTTACTGACTCAGCACCTTTTCGCTGAATTTGTCACCTACGGTGGGCTACCGGCCTCGAAATGAGAACCTGGGCGCATGCGCGTATATCGCATCTAGGACAATTTTATTGTCAAGAGGAGGGAGGTAGGTAATTATGGAACGTTTTTAAAGCTGTTTTTGTATTTTGACGGTCTGTGGCTAAGGTAGATGTTATGAATTTATGTTTTTAATGAATATGCTGGTTTGTTTGCTTGCTGGCTGCTCTTACTTACCTACTTTCTTGCTCTTTCGTTTTGATTTTTTCCCTGCTAAATTTCTACTTGATAAGGCATTTATAAATGTGCAATATATTTATACTTGTCTCTAATTTCCATGTAATGCCAGTGCATGGAAATACTGGGTGCTTATATGCATTCAATAATATTGCTGCAGTTCTGTATTACCTAAAGAATGAAATGAAATAGGCTGTTTATTCTATGAAAAATACATATAGGTATTTGTGTGCAGACTGTGGCGGTGTTGGTAAAGCTGGCGTCTGTCGACGCTAGCCGGCGAATGTGTCAATTTAATTTATATTTTATACTGGGTATAATAAAACATAATCTAACCTGACCTAACCTTACCTACAAACTTACAACCTACCAACCTACATACCTACACCTTACCTACCTACCTGCCTTGCTATTGCTGACCGTGATGCCAGCGTAACCGATACCGCTGTGTCCAGCATCTTGCTCTGAAATCTGATTTAGATTAAGGAAACTGCATATCAATATAGGAAAATGATAAAGAAGAACTTTTGTAGATTGATTATGCTGTTCTTGTTCCATCTTTCTGAACTCGCCTGTGGTTTGTGGACTCTTAAAACGCAGTAGATGCGTAAGTGTATTTCCCTTTGTTGGACATCTGTTGCAGGTTAGTTTCTGGCTTGAAAAAGTATTAAATTGTGTGTTGTCTGTATTTATATTAATATGCATCAACAAGTATTTTTGTCTTCTTCTATTCCAGGCTGGAGAGTGGTGAAGAATAATCCTTCAACAGAAATGTCTGCAAGATTGTTCAAAACATTGTTTTCTTTTTTATTTTGATTTAAGACTCTTCAATTGACATAATTACAGGAAATAGCATGTTCATTAAATGCATCAAGCCATGAGTTTGGGAAGTGAACTACTATAGAGTGATCAGTGAATGGATATGTTGGACTTTGTGCATAGTTGTGCGAAGTGGTGAAGTAACTTGGCTTGAATTTAGATTCATCCCTGCTCTCCTAATTTCTAAAAAAAGTTCTTAAATTTTCTTCCCGATTGTACTGTGTTCACGTTGCAAGGATGGATTGCGAGTTGGTTGGATTAGTGGAAACATTTACCTACAAAGTGTTGCATGTTGTTAAGCACTGCTGGCAATGCTTATGGTATGTGCTGTGTTGGACTTTGTGCATAGTTGTGCGAAGTGTTGAAGCAACTTTGCTTAAATTCAGATTCATCCCTAGTCTGCTAATTTTTCAAAAGGTTTAAGTTTCTTCAATTTTCTTCCTGTTTGTACTGTGTTCATGTTCCAAGGATGGGTTGTGAGCTGGTTGGATTAGTGGAAACATTTGACTGCAGAGTGTTGCATGTTGTTTAGCACTAGTATTATTTGCTAGCAGTGCCTATGGTTAATTGTTGCTTGTGCAATTTCAGAAAAAATATATAGAACTTGATTAATTATATCTACATGTTTGGTGCATGTGTACATGTAAGGTGAGAACCAAGATGGAAAGGTCAGGACCCAACAGCTTACTTTTTAAGATATTCAATTAGAGCACATGGCAGTTGGAGTCACTCAGCTGAAAAGGGTTCATGAAAATCATTTGGACATGTATGCTTTCAAACCAAACTGGGGCCAGCAAAGAGCACCAGCCGACTGGCCAAGGTCAAGATCTAGCTGAGGTTGGGGGAGCAGCAACAAACTTCGCTGCTCAGATCAGGTGGTAGGTACTCTTCAATTCATTCCACGTGTTACACTGCTTAGAAATGGGGTATATTCAGAGGATAATTCTGCATTCTCCTTCATCCACCAGTAGCCAAAGGCCCGCAGTAGTCCAGGGCCCTCAGTTTTCGACCCATGTTTGAGGTCCCAGCACAGCCATACGGACCCCAGTCCCTAGAAGTCACAGCCAAGCATGCTGAACGAAGATTAGAGATGCAGGTTGCCGTGTGTTAATCGTGCATTGTGATTTTCCGTGTATAACGGGAGATTTGACGTTGTCGTGGCTTATACGACGTTCATTTATTAGTAGAATTAATGAATTGTTCGCATCTGAACGCCAAAATTTGGCCTTATAGGTATTACAGACGGCAAAACAGTTACCTCGTTATGCATCTCTAATAGGAAAGTTGCCTGATTTGGTGTATTTAGTCTGATGTTAGTTTTACAAATAGTAGGAAATACATGCTAATGTTTTCGCTTTTTTCCTTATGATTTATCAAGTAAAAATGATATTTTAGAACATGATTTCATCTGTAAACACTCGTTTGCACAATATTGATGCGTATTTTGTTTGCATTTCACTTTTATTTTGAATAATATAGGAGGAACTGAACACAACTAAGTTTAGACTAGATTTCTTCCTACTGAAACGGGCCTCGCTGGCCCTCTAGAGGGCTTAGCTGGCCCGGTCAGGTTTATGCCGTTGTGAACCCGGCTATTGCAAACCACAGATATAATCATTTTAACTGACAATGAAAACTCGGAGAAGGGTGTCGCGCGTCACAAAATGACCGACCCTCATATATCACATTCTGCGCCTAATTTTGCACCTAGAAATGCATCAAAATGAAGCAATACAATAATATAGCACAGCACTTAACAGGTTAATTTAGCATAATGACAAAATAATCAAGAAAATCGAGTTACCTTTGTGAAGTAGCCCTCCTAGCAAACCTCACCGGAAAAAGGAAATTGTTTACGCAGGGTTGCGGTTTATCGAAAATATTTTCAAGGGAAGCATTGCACGTTTATTGCACGATATCTTCCCTCAGGATTTCAAAATAAATAATACCTAAAAAATTAATTAACAAGTTCCGAAACCTATGAGAAACTGAACCGTCTTATTTATATAAGCAAATTGCATTTGTTTACAAAATGAAAAATATCATATGTGGCGCAACAGAAACAAAACATGCGCAGTCGCTTCCTTTCTCAGGACGATCTCTTTGGACGTTTTTGCCCAATTTTTGCCAAGGTTTTTGCAAGGACGTTTTGGTTTGGACGTTGTTAAACATTTATGTTGATGATCATTTCATAAGCCGCATTACCTACCCATCTATTGCACTTGCGGCAGTATTTTGCACTTTGCAGGGTATATTGAGTGAAGTATTTTGATCCAGCCACCCACCACCTCTTTAATTACCTTCCACTTATTCTATTGTTGATCTGTACCCAATAATTACAAAAATCAGAATGATTTGATAGGTATATACAGTATACACCCTACTCATTGTCATGAGTCATTCTAACCACATTTTCTTTTTCTTTGGTGATAAAATGCTGATGTCCTTTGTGATACGTTGCAGTGAGCTATAACTGAGTCAGCAGCGGGCAGCCTACTGCCTAGCTAAGAAGAAGCGAAGGTGTGTTTCATAATGGCATCGGTAGAGTCTCAAAAGCTGAAAGTGATGCTTCTACGCTCAGAGTCATCTGGACCAGACAAATATGTGTCTGTGCTGCATGGAAATGGATGTGATGTGTATACTGTGCCCACTTTGGACTTTGTGTATCAAAACACAGATAATCTTTTGGAGCAGCTGAATGCTCCTTCATCATACTCCGGTATTGTTTTCACCAGTCCAAGAGCAGTCCTGGCTACCAGTGAGGTGATGGGAGATCACCACAAAGTACAATGGATGAAGAAGATGTGTTTTGTGGTTGGAGAAAGGACTGGATGTTTGGTTCGTGAAAAGTTTGGTTTCAACCACACAGGCAGTGACTCTGGTGATGCCTCAGGCCTGGCTGACAAAATTGTGACAATGATGACAGGTCAAAATCTGCCCTTGTTGTTTCCTTGTGGCAATATGAAGAAGGAAACTCTTCCCAAGAAACTTAAAGAAGCTGGCATTCAGCTGCATTCCTGCACAGTATATGTCACTCAAGAACATCCAGATCTCAAAAGAAAACTGGAAGAATATCTGGCTTTAAAGCCCGACTTCGTTGTCTACTTCAGTCCTTCTGGTGTAAGCTTTAGTCACCTGGTTTTGAAGCAGTCTGATTGCTTTGAAAGCATAAAGCATGTATCTATAGGTCCCACGACCAGAGATGCACTGGAGAAGAGTGGGATACAAGTGTTTGCATCTGCAGAGAAGCCATGTCCTGATGCTGTTCTGCTAGCTATCAGGGGGTCATGATTGGAGAATGGGTGAAAACTGAAGTAAAGTGAAATGCAAAAGGTGACTATGATTTTTTTTTTGAATAATTTAGTCAGAAAAGTTTTCCACATTTGCGATGGATGTCAAACTTATCATCAGGGCTTATAACAAATGAGTTTTCCTGGTGGTTATTCCTTGCTGTTGGCCCCTTTTTTATCCTCATATTTGGGGTTGAACTATGCATAGCAACTGTGATACGAGTCATGTTGTAAATAAAGGTGTTTGCTTTTTTGATGCTTTAGGGCGTTAATACCAGTTCATCGCGGAAGAGTTTCGGCCGGTATTCGCCTGCAGCCCGCCACACTATAAGACCTGGGCGCTGTTTCAAGGCACGCTGCTAGCCGCTTTCAGCGCACCTCGCGAGCTGTCGTCACACTTGCGGTAGTGTTGGAGCAATGGGCTTGTTGGTGTCTCATTGGAAACCCAAATTGCCACGTGTGCTGGCAGCGACTGGCAGCGTGCCGCTGACACACCGCCCTCTGCACCGCCCCAGACAGCCCTCGGCTGGTGGGAGACCGGGGAAGACGCTACCGCTGGAAGTTGGTCGTCGTGACGCATTGTCACTTGGACACGAGAACTCTATACTCCGAGGCACACTGTTGGCAAGCTTCCGGTGAGAGTCGGCCATGTGGTAAGACCGCTGTTGCCCTTGCGCACGACGTCCTTTGTTTTGTTTTGCGTTTAAAGCGTCTGGATTTGGAACGCTTAAATGCAAGGGCAAGGTGCCATCTGCACCTGCGACGGGTTTCCACACAAAATTGAGTAATGCGACGAACACATTACATATCCGAGCTAAGAATTTAAATGCAAAAGAATGTCATATATAACAGTTTTTATTTATATTTTAGTTAAACGCTACGATAATCAACGGCATGCTTACAGCACCTCGATAATTGTGGACATCTGACCCACAGTGTCAGAAATCGCCTGCATACATACATGCTGGCCTCTTAGACAATGAGCTGAGTACAGCCACTCAGCTCGGTCACAAGGCAGTAGCCACTGTAGGTGTTCATATCTGTCTCCATCCATTACATGCTTGTAACGTATGTATGCAGCATGCGCCTTGCACACATAAAGTAAAGACAAATCAGCAGAGTGTGTTCTGATAACGCACTTGTGCTCGGGTTCATATCAATGTTGGCGTGGCCTTTTATGGACACTGCTCATACCTATACGCCCCGCATAATAGCAATCCCCATTGCCCCGCCCCTGCTCACGGCGCGCAGCCCCTGCGCCGACGGTCGGCCCGTCCGGAGCGGCAGCCGGCCGTTCAGGGCTGCCGGTCGTGCAGCAGGGCCGTGGTGACGGCGCCCAGTCCCGTCACCATACACACACTGCTCTCTGTCTCCAGCACGAGCACGGGCGGCCGCGGCGCGTCCGGGTGCACGCGGCGCGCGGCGGCGGCCACCAGGCCCAGCCGGCCGCCGGCTGTCTCCTGCAGCCGACCGGTGGCCGTCAGACACAGACCGGCCGAGTCCACGGCCAGCAGACCGGCCGCGCCGGCTACCTGACTCTCCTCCACGGCGGCCACCACTGCAGCGTCCATCGCAGTGCGTCGACGGGATCGAAAGTGCCGTGCAGGCAGGATAAGATGCGCCCTGCAGAATGGTCACACCTGAGAGCAAGAAAACTTTTAGTTATGATGAATCACACAGCACACTAGTTGAGTCACAACAGGCACTCTTTTTATAGGATGTTAAAATGCATTTCTATGAAATTTTGAAGATAGTTAAAATGAGTTCTAGGGATTCACATGAACAATGTTCACTGAAAGATAAGCACTTCAAAGTATGGGATTCTTCATAATTTTTATACCTTGCAGGGGCGCGGGAACTACTTTCCGACCGGGGGGGGGGGGGGCACACCATAATAGAGATCAACCTAGGGTACCCCCAAATCTAGTTTTCTCACCAGTTTTAGGCCACTTATTTTTCACCCCTCTGCTTTTTCAACAAAAAAGAAAACATTTGCAAAAAAGTGTGGTATTCCGTCTCAAAGCTGTGGGGGCACCGCCCCCACGGCCCCAGAGTTGGGGGGGCAAGCTGCCCCCACTGCTTCCCTGGCTCCCGCGCCTATGATAGGTACCTTGTGTTCTGTACATTTATGTGTGCAATTTTCACGTCTATATACCTGAAAACAGTTAACAAGCACATATGTACACTTGCGACTTGCGTGATGCATAGTTTTGCTAAAATTTCAGCTCTGTCTTTAACTACCTATCAAAAGAAGACCCCAAAACATCAAAATTTGTTAAAGTAACCCAGTTTTACAGTGCCTGCATACCTACTTTGATATTTGCTAAGCGCTCACCTGTTCAGTAGGTACCCCTATGCTGTTTAACTCATAATTTGTCAAGCCAACAGTAGGTGCAATAAAAGTAAAAGGATTTTAAAAAATATAACCATAAGAAAACACAGTGCTTACTTTTCGGGTGCGCCGTTTTCGCCGCTGTCTGCTTCAAATGCCTACAGTATTACTAAGGCTGCTGTAAAACTTTTTCGTCACGGGGCTGAAATGTGACATCACTAGAACTTGAGTTTTTATGACGAAATTGATAGTTTGGTGATTGTTCAGGCATAATTTATTTGAATTTTGCTATTAAAAGTTTGATTTGAATAATGATCTAGGTCGATGGGTTGTCAGTTTAGGAAACGAGGTCTTCGAGCATGTCTTCGACAGCTTTCTTTGATTAACTAATGACGTAAAAATAGTTTTAAGAAGGAGGTATAATGCGAATCGTTTGTTATTTCGGCATTCTGCTCATTTTCCATGTATTGGATTGCTAGCTGCTATAGCTTAGTAGCTCATTGGTTATCAATCACGGTCATAGAATACTATCAGGAATATAGAATACTATACTGGTTATCAATAAAGAGAATATGAATTTTACCAATGAGAAGTCGGGGACCGGCAGCATGCTGTCAAAGAAAACTGTCTTAGCAGCGCTGGTACTCAGTTTATTTATTACATCTGTGGGGTTAGGTGTGGTTGGGTGACATTTATTCATCCCAGCTTCATTTATGCTGGCATTTATTTATTTGTGACTCATAAATCCTCCTGACTGCTGATGAATCTTTTAAGTGCTCATCTGTGTTTTATTTTTATGTTGTTTGACACTTGAAACTGGTGGCCAGTGGTGTTAGAACTTTGAGTACTGATCCTTATATAATTTTTGGCAGTGTGTTTTCCTATTAAAATGTGTGACCAGCTATGGACTGTTCATCTGGACCCTGCAGTGCATTACGTGTATCATTGCATTATTTGGTCATGGGCTACAAACACATCATTGACCTTGACCTAACTTGACCTGAAATGACCTCAGCAGCAAAAACCTGGTCGAATACAATAGCTGGCTTGGCACCACAAAACTGCATCGTCATCGGTATATGATGAGCAGCGCACTTGGTATTGAACGATGACCCAAAACCAACATTTTTTAGTTTGACCTGACCTGGAAGGTCAATGACTGACATGAGAAGGTAAAACTGGGTATCATTGGATTTGTCTCTTCCCAAAGAATCTTTTTGGTCTTTACTGTGAAGCTCTATCTCCAACAGGAACGAAATGGTGCGGGGGTGGCACCCCCCCCCCCATGTGCGTTCTAGGATGGCCCATGTGCGCTCTGGGATGGGAAAATGGCATGTGCGGGTGAGGGTTAAGGGGCCTGAAAGGGCAGTGGGCCTTCAGCAGGCTCTACTTTTTCTGCTCTTGCATCTGTCTGGAGACTGAATTTCATCTGATTGAAGCTTCCAGCCTCAGTACCTAGGCTAATTGTTTTTGGTGATAACTGTATTCATCCTGTTTAATTTATGGCTCCATTGTTGTGGCTTGGGCAAAGTCTGAAGAATAAAGATAGACATGTTTTGATTCAGATTTTCTCAGCAATAACATTTTTATTGAAGATAAGGCTGACATCTGTGAATGAAACCATGGTAGTTACCAGGATAATTTCCAGTCTAGCAATTTCATGTCAGTTACTCCTTTTGGGAACAAAAAAAAAAACGTAATTAGTAATTAGCCCATTTGAATGACATTTGACTTGCATTTTGGCAGATATTGCATGATGGATTGAAGTTGAATTGCATCTTGTTTCTAAGAAGAACCACATGAACTTATGGTCTTATTAATGAGTTATCAGTGCTCTGTATAGTCTATCGTTCCAAGACTTGTGACGAATCAGCCATGTCACTGCATGAGCCAGATCTGGGCAATATGTCAGTGGCCATCATTGGCTCCAACACCACCAACAGCACGACGTTCTACCAGCTGCAGGTGTCGATCGACTCTCACCAGTGGGTGGTCGAGCACCGCTACTCGAATTTCGCCGAGCTCAACTCGCAGCTGGTCGGCGACAAGCTGATCCCCGTCGACCTTCTGCCCGGGAAGAAACTGATCGGCAGCCGCGAGCCGGCGTTCGTCGACCGGCGCCGCCAGGACCTGGAGGCCTACATCCGCCGCGTGGTGGCGCTGCTTCAGGTCAACCTGCCCGACGTGCTGGCCAGGTTCCTCCAGCTGGAGGTGTACGACGTGGGCTGGATGCTGCGGCGCCAGGCGTTCCTCTGCTTTGTGCACGAGGGCGCCTACCTGGGCGGCCAGCGGCTGCTGACGCTCTCGCCGATGGAGGTGCAGGGCCTGACACAGCTGGTGCGCGAGGGGCGCGCCGACTCGTTCTTCCACGAGAGCAAACTGAGCACGCCGCCGTCTCAGGTGGTGGACGTGGCCACGCAGGTGGCCTGTCTGCGTGTGGCCGGCTCGTGGCAGGAGCTGCCGCGCTCCAACATACGGCCGGCCGCCTACCCGTTCTCGCTGGAGCTGTTCCGCGCGCTGCGCAAGCTGACGCTGCACGAGGTGCCCATCTCGTCGGTGGCGTCGCTGGCCGAGCTGCGCGGCCAGCTGGTCGAGCTGTCCGTGGTCGGCGGCGCCGTGCGCGAGCTACGCGACGTGCTGCTCTGCGGCGAGGTACACCGGGACGGGCCGCCGTCTGCCGAGCACCAGTGGCCCGCGCTGCTGCACCTCACACTGCGCGACAACGCGGTGCGCGGCGTGGACGAGTCGGCGGCGGCGCTGCTGCCGCGGCTCACCTCGCTCGACCTGTCCACAAACGCCATCGAGCAGGTGGGCCATCTGGCGGCGCTGCCGGCGCTACGCCACCTGGACCTCTCCAACAACTGTCTCAGCGAGCTGCCCGACCTGCACACCCGGCTCGGCAACGTCACGCGGCTGCAGCTCTCCCAGAACCGCATCAGCTCACTGGCGCCGTTCGCGCGCGTCCTCTCGCTGGTGCAGCTAGACCTCAGCTTCAACCAGGTGCGCGACCTGGAGGAGGTGGCCAGCCTGCGCGGCCTGCCCTGCCTGGAGGACCTCAGTCTGGTCGGCAACCCGGTGACGGATGCCATCGACTACCGGGCGCGCGCGCTCGAGCGGCTCGGCGAGCGCGCCGCGCACGTGACGCTCGATAACGAGTCGAGCTCGCAGTCTGAGCTGGACCGGGTGCTGGTGCTGCAGGCGCTGCGCACGGCGCGCGAGGGCGGCCCCGAGTTCCTGCGCCGCGGCTGGCAGGGCCGCGTGGTGACCATCGTCTGAGCGGCGCCGGAGGGACGCGCGCCTGCCGAGCCGCCGCAGTCGGTACCGCCGCCCCGCGCCGACAGACAGGTCAGTGACCGGCACAGTGACCCTCTGACCGTAGTGGGACCCTATCGGATCAGCAGAGGCGTGCCAGGGGATGACTAAATGACACCAGAGAACTGACATGACGGGAACTTGCTCTACCGAAAGCCTCGGTGGCATCCTGGCTTAATCGCCACCAACGATAGCCCCGTAGGACAGAATCAGGACCCTGCGTTCCGTGGTTACTCGCCGGTTATTTTACGATTTTTTAAATGTAGTGACCAAGCAGGTTGTGCCAATTCGAACCCATGCATTGGATGTACTCTAGGGCTACGTCTGTTGCCCTGTGCTTTAGCTGCATTTGTGGCCGAAATGCTGTTCACGTTTTCTGTGAACTTAGCTGTTAATGTCAACCTAGGAGCTGCAACCGTTGTTACTGTTAGCGCTCTTACTGTACTTACACCAATGTCTGACATCATTGCTGTTGTGTTGGCGCTGAAACTGTATTTGCATTCGATACTTCATACTCCACCGTTGCGACACTACGCTATACTTGTTACCACAATATGCCAGCGCGTTGCGTTTGTATGTAATGTATTGACATCGGCACCATTGGATTATAAGAGTTATCCGCCGACACTGCTGGACCGGTCCGGCCTCTGTCGCTGGGCCCTCGGAGAAACACAGCGACAGAGAGATTGCCTGTGAAACTCAATCATACTGAGCTGCTCTCTCGTTAGTGTGTTGTGGCTCGCGCTGTTCCATTTATCGAGTGTGCTGTGTGCCTGCCAGAAGCAATCGTGATATGAATGGTAACTTGCATTTTCAGTGTGTGCGTCTTTCATTCTATGAGCATTGTGCATTCCAGCGGGTCGGTAAATCTGATATTTATGAACAGCCGCGCTTATTTGCAAGTATCTAATATATCGAAAATGCAACACACCAATGTTTTCTTGGCGCTAGAAATAATTAACCGTTGTGGTGCGGCAAAATCTAACACGCCTGTGTGTTGTACTGTTGTAGTGATGACCTCCCTCTCCCAGACGCCTGTTTCCTTTCCTAACTCAATTTTTCCTTCTCAGCCCCTGGAGCGGCGCTGGGCGTTGCTGTATCTCCTCCAATCCTGTGGAGATCTGTCTGCAGTTCCCGCCTCTTGAGGTCCAGCCGAGGTCCAACTGAGGTTCATCTGGGGTCCGGCCGGTGTCCAGCCGAGGTCCGGTCCGACTGAGCTGCTCCTGGGCTGAGCTGCCTCCTGACCTGCGGCGGATGGTGACCTGTCGCCCCGTCAGCCCTGCCGGGTCCGACCCGCGCGCCGTGTGAGGTACGGAGATCTGCTGTGGGGGACCTTCCCCGACACCCCTGCCATCTGACGGACGGGACCCGCAGCTCCGCCCCGCGGCCAGGTGGCGCTCCGCTGACCGGGAGTGGTGTTTGTGTTTACGATTTGTGACGTGTTTGTGGTGCAGTAGGCTCCCCTGACTCAAGTAGTTTAATCCCTACTACGTGCTCCAGCTGTGCTTCGAACAACTTTAAGAGTGCTTGTCTGACTTTCGAGAACTGCAAGTCACCGAGGATCCGCTCCCTGACCATCCCAGCTCACTGCCCCTCCGCCGCTCCCAGTAACACCGCGCGGGCGGGGGAAGCTGGTTGTAACGGGCCGTGATCCCATCTCTAACCCAGGGCGAGAAGGAAGCCGGCTGTAGGCTCTTGATCGCAAAGCGCGGCTCTCACGGTTAATTTTTGTCCTAAGTGTCATCTGCAGGCCTGAGAGTAAACCTAGCGTTTACCGGAGTCCACAGAGGTACCGTTATTACAGCATACCCACCTACATTTTTGAAATTTTACCGAGATGCGCCAAATCACAAATACAGAGCAGAGCAGTTGGTTCAGCATGCTAGCTTTGTTCCTCGACTCACGGATCACGAGCCCAGGAACTAGATGGACCCACGCCGGCCGGATCCGGTGAAAGTTCTGGCGAATGTTACCGTGGACTTTGGCCCTCCGGCGCCCTAATGGGAATCGCTACGGTGGGTGCAGGCTAACCAACGATCGGTAAAACGTGATCAATGCTAACCGGGCTGGGGCCCGGCTTTGCAGGAATATCATCGAAGGGAATAAGCAATATTGACTTGAAAGCTGGTGGTTTTCATCTCGACTAGCTTGGCCCGACCTTCGCCGAAAATAGGTCGTAAGCGCGTCCCATTATCACCCGCATTAACCGAGCCCCGCCCGGGTGTGTCGCTGTAGAGGCGTTCTCTGGTCGTATTCTGTTGTGTAACAAACCGCAGCACCGTTTCCGGGCCGCCAGGTATTCTGACGCGTCTGATGTCGGGGAAACACACCGCAAACAATCGGCGGCCTCGGCTGACAGCGGCGGCGGCTCCGCGGCCGGCCTGGGTTTGTGCGTCCGTCGCGGGTGGCGGGTCCTATGTCACCGCCGGGCGTCCCTGCGACGGTGTGCCACGGCCCGGCCGGCGTGGAGAGCTGAATCGGTGTCGGGCCGCCGTTGGTACGACCTCCCCCTCGCCGGCGCTGACGGGGGGGGGGGCTGCTCTCGCCGGTGACGAGCCGCGCCGGAAGTGACGGCCGGACGTCACAGAGAGCGTGACGGTCCATAGTTGAACGTGCCGGCCGGCGGGGCTCGGTACCGAGCACTGGGCTCCGCTCCCGGACCTGGTGGCGAACCCGAGAGCGGCGCCGGCGCCGGCAGTGGCTGCCCGACACCCCGGCGGGACGCGCACCCGGCGGACGGACGGGAGGGACAGCCGGCCGAGTCCGAGCAGCTGCGAGCAGACGGCCGGGCGCCGGTGTCCGGTGGAGGCGCTCTGGGCCGCTCCGGACCGCATCGGTCACACCCGTGACGTGCTCAGTGACAGCGGCGCCCCCCACCTGCCGGCGGTGACGCGCGCGACCTTGTGACCTTTGGTGCGCCGGGCCGGGCCGGGCGGCGCCGCGCAGCCGGCACAGAGCAGTGCAAGGCCCTATGAGCAGTGGTCCGCCGCGCTCCGGGCCAGCACGATGCGGATCGAGAACCCGACGTTCGCGCTGACGCCGGAGCCGTCGGCGCCGTCGGTGACGGCGGGCGACCCGTCGCCGGATGTGACGCGCACCGAGCCGGCCGCCGTCGAGCAGCTGAGCTCGGCCGACAAGGCCGGCCTGGTGGACGGCGCCGCCGACAGCGACGTCGTCTACGTGCGCGGCTGGCGGCTGCGCAAACTGTGGCTCTGGCAGGCGCTGGCCGCCGCCTGCCTCGCCCTGTTCGTCATCATGGGTAAGACCGCCGACCGGGGGAGCTGGGAGGGGCGGAAGGGTGACGTCCGGAGTTCGGAATAGCCGGGATCCTACAGAGCTCTTGTTTTTATAGTCCAGTGTAATGGCGGTGTAATGTGGCGCCTGTGGCAACGATTGGTATGGTGCAATGGTAAGTGCTCAGCTGCTCTGCACGTTTACGCTCATATTATGACAGATATGAGCATGTGTGAGAGGTTGCATAATCTCGTGTCCGATTTTAGGTCCTTCACGAGTAGAACCTACACGGTACCCATTCCAACTTGACGTCCTTCCCATTCGGTAATACGATCCCGGCCACGCTCCACAACAACACATCTCGGATTTTGGTTACGAGTTTCATTGAGACCGTGTTATTATCGTGTTGCCTGTAGTTTCATTGAGCGGCCCGGCCCGGCCCGGGCTGTCACTGGCGTCACCGCGATAGGGCGCAGAACTGACTGGGGTGGGAGGTCGGCCGTGGATCGGGGCGGTGCGCTGCTCGATGCCGCTGATTCTGCGTGACGCCGGCCGGCACGGTGCATTCGGCACGGTCGCTCGCCAGTTAGTCGGTTAATTTAGTCGGCGGCGCCGCGGGCCGGGACTGACCTTCGGAATAGTCGGGCCGGGCTCTTGGGAGGCTGTTTAGTGTTTAACCTCTACCCCGTCTGCAACGACAGCGGAACGCATAGTAAATCCGCAATATCTGCAAATGGGATGCACAGATATACGGCCCGAGCTGGAACACCATGATAATGTGAAGGTGGACTCTGGTAGATGGTTGCTCATGTTGTCCTACGGTAGGCTGGCGATCTCATTGATCATTCTATGTGCTATTTTTAGAAGGAAGATGCTTTTGGGAACGTGATGGGATATTGTGCGAGATGTGCACTGCACATACCGTGTGATCGCTGTCCTGTCTGTCCTATTTGACCGTGAGATGGACTACTGTGCCGGCAGTGGTGGCCTACTCTGCTCGAGGCGGCGGCAGCGACACCCCAGTCAGCAGCGCAGTCACCGGCGGAAACAGCAGCGGCGGCATCACCACCACCACCACAACCACCACCACCACCCCCAGCACCACCACGACGGCGCCGCCCGGCCAGCTGCACGAGTGCTCCCAGCCCGACTGCGTGTTCCAGGCCGCCGACATCGTCCGCCTGATGAACTTCTCCGCCGACCCGTGCACCGACTTCTACAGCTACGCGTGCGGCAACTTTGAGCAGGTGGCGCCGCACCGGCGCTCCTCCCGGTAAGCACGCGCCCAGAACGGGAGGAGGGCGTGCGCAGATTGTCCGTCATCGTAAATTCCCGGCCGTTATGTCAATATTACCTACGGTTAGAACTCGGTGATACATAAACATCGATAATGATCATAAAACATATTGTAAAATAGCTAAGCCAGATTGGAGTGGGAGAGGTCGAAGGGTTAGGATCGATTATGTTTAGGAACTCCCAAGGCCGCCCTCGACGCCGTGCTGCACGGCCCCGTCTCCCGGTCCCGGTCGCAGGCTCACGTATCGGCGGCGCGTGGTCTCGCCTGTTTGGCCACAGATGGCCAGGCACGCGCTCCACCATTGATCGAAGGCCTCATGCGGCTCAATGTGCGGCCTTTGTCACGTTCGCAGCGTGCTACACACGCCGGCATTGTCCAACTGTCGCCACGGAATGCCCACCAGGCTGCAATACTTGTGCAGCCAGCTGGGGTTGCAGTGCCTTACTTTCACATATATTATTTATTTCGGGCAGGAAACGTCCGTGTATAAATTTGTGCATCCACTGTGAGTGGACTGTCTGTTCAATACCAGCTGGTACAGTTTAGGCCGGTACAGAACACTTTTATGTCAGACCATTCCGCCAGTCGGTGTAACCGGCGCTGTGACCGTGCGTTCCCCCAGGAGCGTGTACTCTGTGCCCGACTGGCTGACCACGCAGAACAACGAGCGCGTCGTGGAGCTGCTCGAGGACAGACCGGACGCCTACAGCCCCGACTCGGCCCTGTGGAAGCTCAAGACGCTCTACTCCAGCTGCCTGGACGACTACGCCAACCTGCGCAACGCCGGAAAACGCATGGTCAAACTCATCGGTAAGCCAACGGCGCGGCAGCTGTTGTAGCGTGTTACAGTCACGCATATACTGACATTGAAATGTCATGTCCCAGTCGAATGATTACAAAAGCTATGCGAGGAGAGGAAAACGTCATGTCATGCAGTAATGTTGCAGCTGCAACGATGACACGGTGCCAACAATGACGGGTGTATGGCGTAGTTCGCCATACCACCGTCCGTTCTGTGGCCTGTTACTGCTCCCCCACGGGGACAGTTACATGCCACAGTCACAGGCCACAGTAACTGCAGTGTAACTGCTCCCCACAGTATAGTTTTGCCCGATCGCTGGGCCGTTGGTGGACGAACATCATTTGAAGCCCATGCCGTCTGTGGGTGAAGTGTATTACATCGCTGATGTGTCACTTACTAGTGTGACCTCTGACATCCGTTATCTACCTGATGAGACCTATGTGCCGTACTAGTGTGACCTCTATGACCCGATATGACCTGAGTCTGCCCTGTACCCGTTCAGACGGTCTTGGAGGTCTGGACCTGTGGGGCACGTGGGACCCGCAGTTCTGGCTGTTCAACAACACATTCAGAAAGGTACACGACGAACACTGGA